AAAATAAAAAATTTATATCTTTATGTTTGAAGCCTGAAATGTGGCAAAAGGTTGAAAAGTTCAAGGGGGCCGAATACTTTCGCAAGGCACTGTACATATTGTTTTTAATGGGCTTTTGATTTAGTGGTGATGATCACAATCAACCCTGCAGCCCAAAGCTAGATTCACTACTGCATGGGTGGGAAGGCTCTGTTGGTTCTGTTGGTACAATTAGGAAGAGCCTTAACAGCCAACTAGAATACCCCCCACTCCAGTCTTACCCCTAGTTTCTCAGCTCCTGTTCTGCAGAAGAATAAAACAGCAATTACGCCCTCCCAGAGTTCCCCGATCCTGGGAGATGTGCCTAACCTGATGGAATCACTGCAGACATTAGGTCCCATAGAAGGGACTGTTCAGTCCCGAGGCCATTCAGCTGATGAGCACCAACACATGACTGGCAACCTATGCTAGCTGAGATCGCCAGTAAAATAAGGGAGAATGGCCTGATTATGCAATGGCACTGGGAAAGAGGATGAGCAGGACAGAGAAAGAGAGTGATTGACCGAAGGAAAAGTGGGAGAATGAGTTAAAGACAGGGACAAGGAAGGAGACAACATTGTCTTGTAGAATCAGTCTAGGGATAGTCTTGTATCTCTGAGGATACCAGAACAAAAAATAAGCAAGTCCATACTTTGGGAGATTTGGTGTTTTGTTAATATGCAGAGATCACTTCATCAACATATGCTTTTTTTCCCCGTTAAAATCAATTCAAGTTTTCCAAGAGCCTTGAGTGTTATCACATTTCAATAAAAACATGGCCAGGAAAGGGCAGACACCTGCCTGGCAGCAACATTTAAAGTGCAGAGTGTTGCATGCTGGTGGCAAAAAATGAAATCATAAACACATGGGAAATGCTGAGCTAGAAGAGGCTACACATTAAAACAGAAATTGTAGGTGTTTATGTTGACACATTAACAACTAAATAAGGCAAGGAAATCAATACAAATGGCAAATGAAATGTAGTTTTGACATTGACAATGTATGATTGTGTTAGAATGTGCAGTGAGACCATGATCATTTTTAAAGGGGCGCACATAATACATGAAATGTCTGCTCAACTGAGACACAAGCTCTCCAGAATGGATCTCTGGGGTGTGATGGATCTGGGCACCTGCATGTGGTCTGATCTGTGTAAAATGGAACATCCTATTTTGCATTGTTTTTTTCTATTGTAAGAAAACTGGTAAGATCTTTTCTGCCCTTTCTCAAAGGTTCATATTTTGGGAAAATCCTTCTCTCATGCATCTCTTCAATATTGACATGGAAATGTACTTTCTGCCTTCCTTTGAATATGTTTAGATCTTTGACTTTCTCTTCCACTTTCCTTTCAGCTGCATTGCGAGGAAGTCCTGTAGGGATCAACCTGCCACCTCAAATGATCTATCTGTCGTGTGTCAAGTTTAAGAATATAGATTCTGCTCTAGATCCCATACAATGTTCAAGTAAGCCACTGGTTTTCATGTGTGATGAATGAAAAGGCTATAGCCAGTAGTAAGTGATAATACAACATTGCAGGTTTGTGTGCCATGAATTTCCAGTGCTAAGATTGTGCTCATCTCAATAAACCCAGCAGCAAAACATCCTCGCAAAACAGGAGCATTTGCTCTGCTCTGCTTAATGGCCAAAACAGCTGGTAACTGGGATCTCGAAGGAGCTGGAGGAGCCTGACGTCAGAGGCACGCTTTGCAGCACGGAGAGGGGGCTGTTTAAAGACAGCTCTGACAGCCAGGCCGCAATTGAGCATCACTCTTTAAAATGCATACTAATGGTGCTGTTGTCACATTTCATTACGCAGTTTTTACTTGCAACATCCCTGCTATCACAGTCGATTAGAGGGGCATTTTAAATGAGATGAAAGTGATAAATGCTCAAAGAGATTAGAGGGGGGGCGTGTGTGGTGCTAGGTGGGGGTGCTGTAGCAAAGCAATACCAGTCTCTGCGGGCAAAGGCTGAGAAATAAAAAAGTAGGCAGGCATTTTGGATTGAAGTATCTGAGGGACTTTTGCTGCAGTGGCGATACATTCTGATTGTGCTTAATAGTACACAGTTAAACTGGCTGCGAGGGACCCCATTTCAAAATGTTGCATTCACAGGAGAATCTGAGATCTAGCTGGACACAAAAACATGTTCGCAATACAATATTTATGCTAATGTTGGAGGATAATGACAATGCATGCCTGAGTTCCGACTTGATTGCTTAGAGAGAAAATTGATTTTACACACTGCACAAAGGTGAACGTTCCCCCTGTCTTCCTCAAATTCCATCAGCAGTCCCTCTACAGTCTCCAGGCCACAGATTAAAAATAACAGTAGGTGAATGAACCATGTTACAAGACGTGCACAATCTCCGGGACCCAATCTAAACCTAAACCTTCATCACTTTCTTTGAGTAAATTCCCCCTGAGATTTTTATTTTACAAGACGTGCACAATCTCCGGGACCCAATCTAAACCTAAACCTTCATCACTTTCTTTGAGTAAATTCCCCCCGAGATTTTTATTTTATACTGTTTTCTTTTCCAAAGAAATGTCCATCCCATCCCTGAATATAATCATCATCATCATCATCCTCATCCTAATCCTCCAAGAATTTGTATATTACTTTTTATTGCAAAGAATCAGGGAATCATAATGTACTTTATATGCGGTATAGGAGGTGACCCTTCTTTATCTGCCACCAAAGTCCAGAAAGTGAAAAGTTACTTCTCAGGTTGAGTTAAGGGGGAATTTCATGGAGGCCAGATTGTTAAGACCCTGAGCTGGAACATCGGAGTTAACATCACTGCTCTTGTGCCATGGGATCCTGAAAGACTCAGTGGTCAGGAACTTTGTGTCAAATCCTCCAACAGCATTGTGTCCTCAGTCATCCTACATTGATTTAGAAATGCTGGCCCAAAGGAAGGAGCGCCACCTACTGATCCACCAATGTCACCTACAGCAACAACCCTGTTTTTTTTTTTGGGAGGTCTTTCATCCCAGTATTGACCAGGCCCAGTCTGGCAGTAATGCGGCTACTTATAAAGGGTAATAAATCATTGACAACAAAAATAGTCAGCTGGCTGTATGTCTCTATAAGAGAGACAGAGCTTTGTCGTGTATTGGATTGTATTATAACATCAATGCTGTTCACAATGAAATGGAAACTTGATGAGAAATGTGATTTTATTCCATGATTAATGCCCGATGACTACTGTTCTGAGCCAAAATGGTTAGTCTATTTGGCCTGAGATCTGCAGTCTCAGACACTGACTGTAGCAACAGCTGCAGCTCCATGTGCAGATCAATAGGACCAGCGAGTCTTTGCCCAGAGGGACTGCCTCTGTCCTCCAATACATTCACTGCCTACATAATAAACTCCATTTGCAGGCAACTCAATATGCTCGACCACTGATCACACTCCAGGAAATGCAATTGAAATGCATCAGAAGTAGAGAATGGCAGTACTACAATAATAATAACTAAAAAAAAAAATCAATACCCCAGAATTGAAAAATGAGGATATAGAGAAAATGAAAGTCGCGAAGCTTCCCTTCCCGAGAGAGAATGTACTTCTAACCTGTATAACATCTTTCTCGGCAGAGAGCTATCACACGGCAAAGCCCAACGCAACACTTCCAGCGGTGCTGTCTAATCTAATCTCTCATCGCCTCGTTGTTTAAAAGCACACGCGCAGCACAACAAAAGAACGAGACCCAGTCATCTGAAAGCTGGGGGTGGCAGTTCATGGAATGAACACATGTTGTGGTTAAAAAAGATCCCCCCCCCCCTCTTCCCCCCAAAGGTCACCAGGGACCAGTGGTTTTGCAGGAGTTGAGTCTTGTTATTCACTAATACCATTCTCGACTTTTTAATAAACGAATAACCCAAGCAGATAAAAAAACAAGCAGCACTACAGCTCAGGTTCAGATGACAAAATAAATGGCTTCTTCACCTGAGAGGCTGTTCTGTACACCCACTGCCTGTGATTGTGAACTGCTCCACCCCAGACATTATCTAGAAGTGCATGGCATCTACAGTACACGTAATGATAGGTTCCAGGGTCTGACAGGTGTGAAGCGTCTGTCTTTTAAATATTGCCCAACATGAGAAGACAACATTGAAGGTTGTGTGACCGTTATCCACTTCTTACTAATGTAAAGTGAGATTACTTTACTGGAAGCCTTGGATGAGCTGGGTTTAGGCATGCAAACTCTTAACGTAACATTGCAACAGTAAAGAAATCCCTTACCTGCCTGCTTCTGGGTGGTTCTTACCTGTAGCTCTGCCTCCTCCAGTGTCTCTTCTCTTCCCTGCAGGGCTCCGTGTTGCCATGATGTTTAGTGACCTTCAGACCTGCCATCTCCTCCTCACTTTGCTCCAGGGGGTCTAGATCAGAGAGAGAAACTGTCAGGGGTTACAATGTCACACTGTTACCACAGGAGAAAGGGGAGAGATGTCCTACTAATTACTGCTGTGATACTGAAGATAGTGCTTCACATTTACGACTGCTGGCTCAGAAGGAGAGGATAGTATTTAACCTCTAAAAATGTAACCACAGAAAACTGCTATATTCTGAAGTGCAGCAAATCAGACTTTCAGAAAACTTCTTAATGTTATAACTCAGTTGGTAGTGAGTTGAGTCAGTTTTACTCCACATTAATGTACATGTAATTTTAAAATGCCAAAGCTTGCAAAAACTGGAAATACATTTGCTCCTTATGAAATATGAGTACCAGGCACATCTTGAAGTTTAACATTTTTATTAGTCTCTCTTCATACAGTACATTCCTCTTTATGTTTAAATGGCTGCCATTCTTTGACTCTTTAATAATAACATATTCCTTTCCAGTGCTCCCCCACAAGGTGGGAGTGTGATAGTACATGACCCTCAAGTATTAATCTCCTATCCTATATCTGGCTGATGCTTTAAACTAATTTTGAAATCAATTCAATGTACCAAAAGTAACTTTTTGTGCACACAATTCAGTTTTCTCTTTTTTCATACATATAACACCTTATCTTTTTTTGATCTTCTCAATGGAATCATGGAGAAGGTCTCAGCAGTCCTGCTCTTTAGATGACTGCAATATATCCTGACATAATTTAAAAAAAAAGAAACCCTAGAAAGATAGTATTTTCTGCACACTGCCAGAAGCAGAGATACAGGTGGCTCAGCAGAACTGATTTTCGAGTTATCCCCTAAATTGGGTTTCAGATTCTGTCTTATTGTTTTCAGTGCTGCTGAGGGGCTCTTGGTAGAGCTAGTCAGGGCGGTTTCGGGACTGAAATGGCTTGACAGGGGAGCGATACAGGTTCTGTGAACCAAGGCCCGGAGCAAGCACTGGAGAAATGAAATCAGCTGTTTCAGCTTTCAGTAAGGCTGACTCCGAAAGCAATCGGGAGCTTAAGTCAATAAAGGCAAAAAAAGCAAGTAAATTGTCTCTCTTTCTCCTGCCCTCGAATTTGATTTATTAAACAAAACCAAAGGACTCCAGAAATCAAATACTTAAAACAACGGGACCTGGATTCTCAGACGCCTGCTACTGTTTGATTGGTACTGTAGCGTGTCTCCACCGCCCAGAGCACTGGAGCTGTAGGAACTTCAAATTTCTCTCAATCGCCATCAAATATATATTTTAGCATGCACTTACTCATGGGTGCATGAAAGTAAATGTCATTTTTGAACATCCCCGATTGAAACAGCTTTCTAGCTCAGCCCTTTATAATGTAGGCGAATTATCAGGGTTTTGGTCACAATGCAAAACCAATGTATGGCCCCAGCAAAAACAATTCTGTAAGCCATTCAATGGACATGCAGGTTACTTTTCTTTAACTCAGCTGATGGACACAGTTCAGAGGCTGTCTGTCTGACTGGCATTAGCTGTTCTACAAAACACCTGCAAACACTACTTTCATCTGAGGAAACTGATCTGTGGCATTTTGCAAAGTGGGGTGATCTGCCCATCTGAGAAACCTAAGAGCTCTGGCAGGGCCTGTGATTCAAGACCCTTTTCTTTTATTATTTAAAACATTTATTTTACATTTGCAAGAGTAAAGTCTAATGAGATAAAAGCAATAAAAAATTAAAAAGTGCATAATAACAGATGATAATCAGAGAGAAAAAGTAAAATACCTGTTAAAAATGAATGAGGAATTGTTGGGCAGACTTTATATGATGGAGGCACATTGGGAGGCAGGGCTGAGAGAAGCTGCTTATAAAACATAATCCTTTACAGATACTGGAACAAGGGATTCATTCTTAAGATAAACAATGATTTGAGGCAAAATAATTTAAATAAAACATCAGTAACAGTGATCTATCAAGTGTGTATAAAGTGTACATATCATAAAAGCATGTTTTTTCCATTTAGGAAAGTAATCCCCTACAAAATAACTATAATGGTTTAAAAATTAACTTTCTTTCCCCAAGACCGTTGATAGGTATCGCTGACATAATAACAGAATCATTAATCAGAGAACCTAGAGAGTTTTGTGCTAAGAAATATGTCTCTGTCCCTTCTTCAAACAATGCTGTCAAGTAAATCTAGTAAAAGGAGAGACGAGAAGACAATTATTCTCTCCCAGTGTTCTCAGTGAAATGCAATAAAGGAGAGAACAACGTATAGAATTTCTCGCCCCCCCCGCAGTCAGTTTTTTTCGAGTGGCAGAAATTCTGAAGCCTGAGTGATCCTTACTGTCAAAGATGGCGTAGGACTGAAACACCAGAGAGGAAAGGCTCCTATCCACAGGCAACGTGATTGTAACCAGTGAGATTTCTTTACCTGCTTCTAAAGGTAAATCTGAGGATGAGCTCAGGAGACACAGACAAGGGTTCAAGGCTAAGATGTTTTAGAAGCATTAAAATCTAGTACCAAAAAGGTTGAATTTCTGTCAGATGCATGCTTACATGTGCCCTGGTTCCGTTTTACATGAGCAACAACAAGGAAGGAAAACAAAAGATATCTCATGTAGGTCGATATGTTGAATCTGTTAATGAATTTATCACTGATTCTGTGACTTTGACTTGATTGTGGGGGAGCAGATCTCATTGTGTCTCAAACAAACCAATGACTATTTTTTAGGCAGACTTTATGCGATAGTGGTGCAGGGAAGCAGTGTTACTTTAAAAAAAGCAAAAGTTACTTTAAAAAAGTAATCCATTACAACTGGTGTAAGGGATTACTTTTTAAAATTAAAAATAATGGACAACTATATCAAGATTCCTTTATCAAACAGACATAAGGTGGTCAAACAAGGGGCTCACGTTATTTTTTATCAAATATTATAATTGTCACAAAAGCATTGTTAAGGTTCTCCTTTTAATGGAGACAAAAAAAAAAACCCTGCACTTCACAGCAGCATGCAGCATTGGGATCAAGTAGTTAAATCTAGGGAGAACATTTATTAGGAATACATGTCCTAGCAAGGATAGCGGGAGGGAAAGCCACTATATTTTCCAGTAACGGCAAGTAATTCTTTTTGCACAAATTGTGGAGGGTAGATGCCTTTTAGTGCCCAGCAGAATCAAGTTTGTCATGTGGTTAGAAAGCAGTAAGTGCAGAGGACATGCATATGATATATTGAAGCTGACTTTACACCCAGGGAATATATTAACTAGACTGGGACCTGATGTTTAGTGTAGCAAGGATAGCACATTCTCAAGATATGATACATAAAGCAATATAGTGTACAGGAAAATGTTATTACTCTCACACACACACACCTTCAAAGTTGGCATTGGATCTGATGTGTTCAACCAGTGCATCAGATGGCGGATCAATAAAACACTTGTTTATCTTACGTTCAGCCTCTGACTACACCTTTACAACTTTTCCCTACCTTAACAAGAGGTTGGACTAAGTCCAAACCACTACATAATAACTGTCTGACTTTATTTCTTTTACTCACAAATTTTCCATTTCTCCACCAGTTTTCCCCTCCTAAAAAAACATTCCTCTTCTGTTCCTTGTAGGTTATATCAGCTGGTTCTCATTAGCTTTGAGTACAAGTGTACTCAATTGAGGCCTGTCAATCTCGCTATCACTCAGTATCCACACCTGATTCTTATCAAGAGCCAAAATGGCTGCTCCCTACGGAAGCCTATTAGGGACCCCTCGGCTTCGCCCCCAAGCCAGGAGTGAAGATATCCTCACACAACTGCTCTGTTGCCAAGGCACAAAGAAGTGGGTATAGGAGATCTCTTTGTGTAGATCCCGCCCTTAGAGGGAATCTGTGTCAGAAACCATACTATTAAAGCAAACCACAGCATTTCAATAAAGGCACATAAACAGGACCCATTTTATAAAGGGTTGAAAAAAAAGGAAGCTCCTTTCAACTCAGCCGAATGCTTTCGCAGCTTCAATGATATTGGCAATGCAATGGACCTGTTGTGCTTATAAACAATCTGCAGAAGTAAATAGGCATTGAATGTAACTGGAAGAATACCTACTTCTAATCAAGTATCTAAATCAAGGTTAATAATTTAAGGTTGAAGTTTCCAACTTTCTGGCATCTTTCCTGCAATGACCTTGCCATCATGATTAAGCAACGTTATGGGGTGAACACAGGTGCACTCAAGTGGATCTTGCATTTTATATGTCTGGGACTGATGGAAGAGTTGTTTAAGAAGGGACTTCTACAAGGAAGCTGTGTAAGACAGGTACAGCAACTTATCAGTTTGAATGAACAACTCAAATTCTCCTCCAACAGGAATGTCAAAGGAATGGATATCTTTTAAAAAAGTCTGTGGTAGAATAGCTTCTTTGCCAATTAAAAAGATTTTTGTAAATTTGTTGAAAGGTTTATTAATGAGGCGGAGGTCATAAATTTCACTATGATTTTTATTCTGAATAGCTACCATTGTTCATGTGGACTGCTCTTTTCTCATTTGATAAGCAAGTCTTTGGACAGGTTTTCGTTTTGATAAAAAAAAATCAATTTCTTTACATGCCTGATGTAGGCAAAGCTTATTTTAGCTTTGGCAGCTGTCAACTGATATCAACCTGTTTTGTTAGACGATCTCTTGTGGAGGTGTCTTAATGCAACACACACACACGAAATGCCAAACACTCTACTTTCTCTGCTAATGAGCTTGAAGAAGTGACCTATGAAAAAGAATTAGGCGTTTATATTGACATATCATTTTCATCTTCGGACCACTGATTCCTAGTCCTGCAGTCCTCCTGTGTCTTCTGGTTTTTGTTACAACAGAGCCCTTAATCACCAGCGCTAATTGCTGCCTGTGTAATGGATCTGATCACTAGTTTAGATCGGGCTTAGACAAGTTCAAGTTTATTTGTCATTCCAGCTATGTACAGGTATACAGGGGATCGAAATATCGTTCCTCCTGGTCCATGGCAACGTGAATACTAAGGATATTTACTGTA